TGTTACCTTATTTTTCTGTTATTCAAGGCCCTTATTTTTCTGTTATTCAAAAGCCTTCAAGAGAATCATGGCCTTCATTGATGTAAAATGTCTCCACAACATACTAGGAAACTGTTGGATTCCTGCTGATGTTAGTCTGTTTCAGATCATGTTCTCTACAACACAGAACAGTCTTTAAATAGTTTTCTATTTTGAACCCAGAAGTTCTTAATTTTGCTAATTCCCAACTGACATGGAATTATTTTCTTGATTTACTAATTGTGAATGTACACTTGCACCTACTTTGCTTCATAGGTTTACAACACATACGTATATATAATAGATACATGTATAAATAACACTAAACTTTTGAAGCAAAATGTGTATATATTAAATAAACATATATATATAACGTAACTGAACTGTGTATGATCTTTCCTGCAGGATTTTTAGTTACTTACAAGGGAATGCCAATTTATAACTTTGTGTTATGTGTTCTCAGTTCATTAATCCTATTACTTTCCCTGTAAGTTTTATCACCCTTTCTTCCTCAAGGGTGTAGAAGCCCCTGATGTGTAGACTCAGGTGAAAAAGAAGGATTTTATGACATTAATTGTTATAAAGCAGATAATTCATTAGCTGTACATTGTCTACAGCACTGTTAATCATCACTGGGGCAATTATTCTAATTTTAGCAAGCATGTCCCTTGTTAGTTAAGTGGTCACTTCTCTCTAGAATTTTTACGCAACACAGAGCAGACCTTCAGCCTGTTTATGTTCCTATAGCTCTTCAAGCTTTGCTGAAAGAAAAGATGATTTACTCCAGCTGAGTAATGCCTCCATGTGTATTCTCCCACTGACACACTTCACCTCACTTAATTTCTGTCCTGTTTGATTCTCCTCCAACAGAAGAAAAAGACATAATGAAAGGGGGAAATCAGCAGTTTCAGATCAGACTGCAAAAGACTTTCCACACTGATATATAGGAGAAATGAAAGTCTGTCTCCTTCTTTCACTTCCTGGACCAGCGCTTATCTGAAAGATGTGGAAATACCAGTGTGAGGGAAGAGTGGTTTCATGCGATGCAAGAGTTTGCATTTGGAAACTTCATCTGATATTGAAAACACATCTTATCTTAGAATGAGATCATTGGCTTTTTACGCCTTGATTTTACAAAAATTGTTCTGATTTAAGCCTATGGGGCTTGAGAAAACTTTCAAGATGTGCTGTGCTGTAGCAACAGTAGAACTTCTGCAGAGTTCATATCAGCATGTGTAAAGATGCCCAAAGGTCCTGTAAATTTGGCTTTTTAGTGGGAGTTATCTTAGGACTAACTGTAAAATTGGTTAAAAAATTTTGACTAATCAAGACTATTTCAACATATCATAAAAAAATAATTCCATAGTTTTTTGATGTCTTCCCATAGAGCTTGTCATTGCTTCTTAAATTTAGAAGGTAAAAATAAAGGAGAGGTAGCCTTACTTTGAAAAGAAGATAAAATGCTATTTTAAAACAGTATATCTTTCAGGGTAAAAACTTAATCAGGTCAGTAGCTGTAGGTCCACCAACAAAAACTCCGTCTCTCCTCATGAAATACAAATGTATATTTTGTGCTGAATAAAGAATAATAAGAAAGAAGAAAAATTCCTACAGTTTATAACTTAATCTTGGCAGAGCTAGAATATGCATGTCTACACTGTGAAATATTGATTGAAACTACATTCTATATTGATTGAACTACATCCATAATCTATGCTTGTTTCTAAATATATGTCAAGATACCATGCAAACTAAAGAATGATTCTTTCTTTATTCTTTATATCTCTTTGTTTACTTATTACTACTGTTCATAATTTTATAGTATGATTGAAATTCTCTTAAATATTAGTGTGTCCATTGATACATTTCTAGAAATGACTAACTTAGTCACTGTTCACCATAAGTTTTGAGCATATATATAAAACTAGTTCATCATAAAAAGGAAGAGTGCTAGTTGCAAGATGTGCCATATCCCCAGAGGACATTCAGGCAGGGTAAGAGTTAGCTGTACCCCTTGCTTGAAAAATAGTACCCCTGAAATTATGTAGTTGCAGCTTTATGTATGTCAAACCATGCCCTTCTGATACCTGGGGTTACTGTTTCAGTGGGATCATACTAAGTTAGTTAACATCATACCTGTGAATTTCTAGGAATTGAATTAGCTGATTCATTCCAGGTTGTTATTAATATATTGATTTAATTTCAAGACTAAGAGACTGTTGTATCTTTCTAGTTTAGTCATATTGATTAATTCACTAGGATTTCAAACTGTGTGCACAGAAATATATTTAGGCAATTTTCAGTAGAACAAACCAAAAATACATAGTTATATTTATTTACAGGCCACAAGAAAGATTTATAACTATTAGGTGATTTGTTCCATTTGTAAGACTCTTGATCTGGCTTCCAAATGAACATTGTTGTCTTTCTCAATTTACTATTATTTTTAACACATACTCTAATGTTTTTAGGTTCCTTTCTCCACTACTTTGCACCTTCACTGAACTAGTTATTTTTAAAGTGTGCTTTAAATTTTAAAATTTAAAATTTTAGATTTTAAATAACTTCCAGATTCATTTATTTGTCATCTAAAAGGTTTATAAGAAGATAAAGATTTGAAAGTTATCTAACCTGTGTCATATGTGCTGTTGACACATCATATGAGTGGAATTAAGCTCAGTCTTGGGTTCCAAAACTAAACAATTCTTTGGTTTGACCTTAAACAGAATAATTTGTAATTGTTAGAAACATGAAGGTTTATAGCCTCTTAAGACAAGAAGTTAATGGATCTCATGAAAAACCCCAAACTTCTAGTAAATGTGGTTTTAATGTATACTGTTATGAATAAAACAAGTGTAAGGTCCAGAATGATAAATTTAGATAAATAAAAATATACTGTTTATTTGTAGTGCCTCTATTATTTAAATTAAAGGTTTCTCAGTTGAAATCTTTAGGATCTCAAAGCTTAAGATGATATTTCAACGAGACACTGGGTTGTTGGCTGTGGAAGGATGTAGTACATACATAGATTGATGTATTCTATTGTAATGTTAGTGGAACAAGTTTCCAGGCAAGGAAAACTGGCACTGTTTGAAGAGAGTATCTACAGCAGGAACTGGGAAGGCAGGAGAAAGGCAATGAGAAGTACCTGGTCAACCAGGGCATGTCAGGTAGATAGCAGAAGTATAAAGATATCCCTAGAGGCTGAAGAGCTACTGTAATTGATTTGCAAGAGGGAAAAAGTAAAAAGAAGGAAACACATTATCAAAAATCTGAAATAAAACAAACCCTTGAAGTCCCCAAAAAAGCTAACCAAAAGATTTAAATTACAACAGGCACAACACCAAATAAATTTCTCTCAGACTTATGTAGTCTAAATTCCTTCTAAGTCCTCCAGCCTAGTGTTTCCTATTTTGTGTCCTGGGGCCTTCAGGGGCTTCTACCAACGTGAAACGTTAAAACAGAGAATTTTGGTCATCTGCACCTAGGCCATTCTTGTCATGAATGTAAAGAATTACAAAAGGACAGGTGATGAGGAAAGTGATTGGTCTATTAGGTGATACTATTTGTGGTATCCTCCAAATCTGTATGATGGGTACACCATGGGTCCTTGGAAGTATGAAAGTAGTCTGTTTTTGTGTCATCGTGTTGAGCTCAATGAAATAGGGGTAACCAGGGAAGAAGAACAAGAAGTAGAATATTCCCAAGAATATAACCATTACCTTATTAGTTAACATTTATACTACCATAAAGCTCAGTTCTGAAACAACATTGTAGCTTACTGAGCTTGCAAAATCCACAATGAGCATACCTAATAAGAAGAGCTTTGTGCTGCATAAAATTAAATATTAGTAGGCAGTAATGCTAAGTGCTCTGAGCATTTTGTTGTTGCTTTTGCATGTATCCTTATGTGTTTAGTAATGAACAAAATGAGCAAAATGATGAAAACTCCTGAAATGTACTTCAGAGCTTGGTCTGCAACTCATAAAGGTACTGCATTAAGATTAGGATCTAGTCAGTAAACTATTTTTCTTTATGAAAGGAAACTGGATAAAATCTTAACATGGGGGTGAAAAAAATTATCAGCCTTTCCTGTGTCTGAAAACTGGTGAAACTGACAGAAGCCGTCTCGTAAGTATTAAAGCAAGGCTAAACAAATCCAGGTTATGGACTATAAGAAATGCCATTTACTCTGACTCACATTTCTGTTACAAATTTGGATACAGTGATTTAACTGAGGACATTTAGTGAGCTTTATTGCTGCTGCACATGTGTTCCATTGGGGATAAAATTACACTAAATAGCTTAAACCATTCTAATACTCTTTCCAGCAACAGCTATCTGTTAGGTGAGCTCATGTATTGTAATTTCCTCTTGATATATGTAATCTGCTGAGGTATATTTCTTGTTTCTTTATGCTGCAGAGAGTAAGTTGTTCTGATATCTTGCTGGTGGACTGCGGAAGAGCAACTGTCTCTCCTGGAAACACAATGGAAGTGTAGGGAAGGCACTAGGAGTTGTTGGTTTGGTCTTGCATTTTCTTTGCAAAATATGTAGTATGTGGCTGAGAGGGGCAATCAATTAACAAACTTTGTTAACACTGCAGAGGAGAGAAACGTGTTTTCATGAGATGGTGAATGGAAAAGATGAATTACAGAAACAGCATTTGCTGCCTAAGATACAGAGCAGTATATTCCTCCCTCCCTCATTTTAAAGCAATATATATATCCAGGTTTTACTCTGTAATTTCCTGGGTTTGTCAAATATTGTAAATTATTTTATGTTGTTTTGAACCTTTTTTTTTAAGCTTTGACATTTCAGCATGTAACTGTTTGTGAAAGAACAGGTTCCTTAATGCAGTTCTCCTTTTTTTTTTTTTTTTTTTTTTTTTTTGAGGAGACGATATGCTTCCTCTTGTTCCTCAGCAGGGGTGAAAGAAACTATTCCTGTGCTCACAGTCTCAAATCTCAGCTCTTGTGTAGTTGTTGGAGAACGGCTCAGAGACAAGGGCCATGAGCCCACCAAGCAGTTGTACGATCAGAGCCTGTTCTAGGGGCTGATGCTGCCTCGCTGATGCTGGGAGTCACTAGGGTTTGCCTGCAGCTGCTCACAGCTGCTGATACAGGAGGAATGTCAAGGACGCTTCGGCCTTGTGTACCGTGGTGTGTCGAAAACAGGTTAAGAGGAATCAGAAATAGTGGCCTGAGAAACTTAGTGTTATAAGAAGCTTGTGCTGTTAGCTAACTGCAAGTAGGTGGACCGTGCGAATACGACCTTTAGAGCTTAAGCCAATCAGCTAGTGACTAGTAGGCATAATAATTATCATTGTCTGTATAAATATATGTACCCTGGACCAATAAAGGGATATGATATATGATGCTCTAACAACCACATTGAGTCTGTCTCGGTGTGTCATTCCTCCGCAGGTCCACATGTAATCTGTCCACAAGATACTCTGTTCCATCTCCAGCAAAGTGATCAGTCTTCAATCTCATGTATATCACTGTAGTTTCTACTGTCAGGAGCAAAATATGTCATGCCAGATCTGTCAGCCCAGAAGAGTTGCAGTTGCTGCAGCTCTGTGTTTTAATTTTACACACAGAGAAGATAGAGCTGACAGCATTATTTAGGTGTATGGCAAGTCTAGACAAGTGTACTGACCAGCAAATTATTTACACAAAACTGACCCTTTTTATCAACTTATTCCTCTATTTTCCCACTCTTGTTCCACCTAAACCACTTAAATCCACCCCTTTCCCTGCCTGTCGTTCCTGCCCTAGATTTCCCATAAGTAAACTTATCCCCAGATGCTCTTCCTCTGCATGATATAATGTGTCCCATTTTCCTTAGGCACTGACTATTCAGTATGAAAGGTGCTCTGGAGTTGACTCATCTTGAAGGGTTTCATGCCTGGACAATACATCTGGGACTCTCCTGGGACATCTCAGGGAGGGACCAAAACAGGGTGTCCCTTCCAAGTCCTTACCTTGGGTTCCCATTTGTGTTTGTGTCTTTGGGCTCTTCTGGGCTTGTGAAGATGAGCATATGACGGGCTGATGAGTGCTGAAATAGGCAAGACAAGGTGTTCTTGGTCTTTTACACCAGCTGTTGTTTCTCTGTGCTCCTCTGTGAGTGTGCAGATTAGCTTTTATCACATAACCTCACATTCCCACACTTAAAGGTGCAGCTAGAGGGGACCACACCATCCTTTCTTCTTGGATAGCACTTGAAGACATCATTTCATGTCCTGGGAGAGTCCTGCTCCTGCAGTAGAAGACTTAGTGCTGCTACCAGGTACCTTCTAAGGATCTTACATGTCTATGTAGCTCCAGTGTGCTGAGTCTTACAGTCCTACTACACAGGAAGGGAACTGCAGCATCAAAGTAGCTGCAGATTTCAAGGTAACTGCACTCAGCTGGAAAAAAGTGTGCCATTTGTGTATACTATAGGCTCCTTTGGGACACATTCCCACCTTACCATTCCAGGCTTCCCACAGCAAGGGTTGATGACCAGCTGCATCTTGACAACAAAATCATAACATTGGAAAGATTTCATGGCACTGTTTGTCAGCCAAGGGTAACAGTACACTAGGTTTAAAGGAAATTTGCTGAAAGCCATATTCCCCTAGCATAAAGTCTGCAGTCTCTCCGCTTGTCGCTAAGCCTGCCTCCCTCGTTCCTTCCTCTACCTGATGACCCAGCAAGCAGTATCTCAAACATGAGGAAAGAACGAGCTTGGGAAGTCCACATTTTAATATATATCTATACCTATCTATCTACAGTTATGTATGTATATATGGGAAGTGAATTTTTCAGATGAAAGAAAAACCATGAATTCTGAAGGACTGAGAATATAGTTGGTACTTCTGGTTCCAAAATACAAAATGTTTCTTACACAATGAAACTCTGGAAGAAACTAAATGACATTTTTCAGAAGCAATTCTAGATCATGTTATGATTGTGCAATAATTTTTTTTGTCTTCTGCATTCTATGTATTATTATTTAGAGGATAATATCTACAAACTGACAGTGAGAAAAAGATTCAAAAGAGAATAAGTACCACTTTGGAAACAATGGCAGTTTCCACACTAGCAAAATGTTTCTTGTTATTTTAGTTAGTGTTTTTACTGAAAAGTCGTCATTATTGTTGCTGTCTGTTTGCATTTCCCAGTGCACAAAAAAAAGGCCTTGCAGATAGCTCTATCTGTCTCAAGAAAAATCCTATTAAATGAAGAAGTTAGCACACATGTTCCTTGACAATCTATTATATTTTGAATTTAAGAAATCAAAAAGAAAGATAACACACAGGATTCATTCTTGGTGTTTCTGACTGTTATTTCAATTATATGAACATGCATTTTCCAGAGAACTAGAAGTTTTCATCTAAGAGGAAGGTAGTAAAAAAGATTTAATGACGCCAAACAATTGCAGTTCTTTTTAAGGGCCTTTTAAAGCAAACTTCCATTTGCTGTTGCTCCTCTGGTTTATGAGTTTAAAGCCAGATGTGTTTCTGACTGCAGTAATACCAGCTGGTGATAATCAAGAGACTGAAATAGTCTTAGGCCACATTTATTCTATTTGTATCTAGGAAAAAAATATAATAAAGATGAGAAATACTCCTTAGATGGACTGTTCCGTATTTTATTCTGACCATGTTGGAGAAGTAACAGTTTAAATATGACTGTTTTCCATTGTTGCCATAGTAACCAAGGACCTAGAATTTGCTGACACAAAAACTATCTGGGCATGGACTCTAGTATATTTGGTGAAATGTTGTACTTTATATTTCTGAAGCATGACTTTGGTTTTGAAGCAGACCATGAAATAGTTCTGAACATCAAATTCAGGGATAGGGGTTTTGTTGAGACATTCTTTGAATTAGAAAAATCAAAAATCATACACATTATAAAAGTAGAGAAGAAGACAATGAACTCTGTGGGACTTTGTGGAGAGCCCGATCAGTGTTCTTTGAACCCACATATCAGTCCAGCTCTAATCCTGTTCTTTTCTCCTCTAAGTTCTCAGAGTATTTTGTTATTCATCATGACAGCATTGTTTATCATGTTATCCATAAAACTACTGATTATACAGTAATAAATTATTTGGGGAACTAAAATAGCATGAAATGGCCTTTATTATTTATGTTCTGTGTGTTTATTGTAATGATGTGTGTGGGTGCTACTGAAACCTTCCTGTCCAGCTAAAAGACTTCATGTAGGAGATGAATGAAGATGAAAGCAAAAAATGACAAAGAAAATTGAAGCAGACACTTGCATTTCTACCACTGTTGTGAAGCTATCCTAAAGAAAACCTAATGTATTTTTTCAGGCCTGCTTTATTTCTGATTATTTCTGAGATGTATGCAAAAAATTCCTAATGTAGAACATAAGATACATGGAAGGAAGAACAGGAGATACCTGGCTATCTTTACCATAGGATTTACAGCATTTGCTCTTGCAAGTTTTTTGACAGGCCTGTAATATAGTCTATTGGGAAATAGGGAAATCTGACTCCTATCAGACCAATTATTAAAGTCTCTTATTTCTTGTGTGAGTCTCTTAATTCTGCATTAATGGGCAGAAAACAGACAAGTCCTTCTCATGTATATGTGTTTTAAATCACAGTACCAATGTTTCTTTTGCTATTCAGTGAAACCAAAACATATTAAGAATCGGACAGTACATCCAATGGAGAGGGATCTTCATTGCTTATCTGGATGGGAAGGACATATTGCCTGTGAAACTCAAGCAGTTTTAGATGGTACAAAGGTCCTAGACACCATGTTTGGGAATGCTCAAAATAGAGTTGTCAGCATCTAAGTCACTTTTGGCATAAAAAATTTAATGGGTAGGTAAGCAGTAAAGACATTTGGATGCCTTCTTGTAAGCCTAAGAATCTGGCAGATATTTACATTATTTTATCTTAACACTCTTCTAGTTTAAGGTCCATATATGGTATGTGTTGTGGCTGTATTTATGATACGTAAGCAGGATAGTTTTAGATTTTGCCAGATTCTTTTAAAAAAATATAATAGTAAGAAAATTATCAGAAAATAACTTTGGAAAGGGAGATTATATCTTAAAGTACCACTAACAATTATAAGATGAAAACAACAAATCTCACTCTGTTAAACTGACTTCTACTTTCATGACTATAATATTTGTGGTCTACTAAGTATTTCTCCCTTGTTATGCTGACAGAAGACCCATGACCTTATACCTCACTGAAGCTGTTCTCTAAACTATTTAATTATGGGTAGTATTTCTTTCTGGCCTATACTTGAAGACATTCAGAGCACTTGCAGTCCTTTGGGAATGCACTAAAATCTTACTGTTGATCTCAGTGACACTGGATAAATCTAAAACAATGTCTTTGAAAGAAATGATGTTACTGTGGGCTTAAAAATTTACTTGTGACTTATCATGCAGTGTAACACTAGTACCATTAGAAACTAGAAATTTCTTATTATCTAATCCTGAAACAGAGATCTGTTTCAAAATATATATTATGTGTTAGCATTCTCACTTAACTTTTTAAAGTTTTAAAATTCTTTGAAGCATGCCTTCCCATTTAAAGAGAAGCATACCTGAGAGAAAATATCTACTGCAGGGCTCCACCTTTGTTGTTGAGTGGGTATTGGAAAAAGCACATGAAATACAAGCACTGTGAAGAATTTTACCAAGCATGGAAGGATTCATTTAATCTCAGATTAATATTAGGAATATTTGAATATTGCAGGATCCTGACCTCTTCTTAAGTCATTGGCTCATAAGCTCTCTGAATTCATCAGGAATTTAGAGTATCAACCCATTTTTAACTGTATTCAGGAGCTGAAGATAAATTAGAAATACTGGTCCTATGGAACAGGTTATTCTTGTTTATTAGATATACAAAAAATAACATGTTAAGGAGACACTAAGAATTTTTTTAAAAAATAGTTGTATATCGGAAACTAAATATTAGAGTGGCTTCATAATTTCTACAACAAAATAGAGAAGAAAAAATTAATTTGGAGATAATACAAAACTGTTATAAAACTTATTAAGCACAAAGGCTAAAAGAACTAGTGAAGATTTAAAAACGGTAATTAAAATATCTTATGTCTAATGCATTTCCTCAGTGTCTTC